GTTATGACGCGCCCTATTGATGCGGAAGCGTCATGAGGTTAGAAACCCTTCTGATGAGGAACTCGAGAATTGTTCATTACCACACGCCCTATTGACGCTGACGCCTCATGTTAGTCAGTCCACTCCAGAATCGAAAAAAGAGCTCTCCAGGTGACTTGACGCGAACGTGTCATAAGGGTGGAAACCCTTTTAATGAAGCACCTAGGAATTGCACATAACCATGCGCCATATTGACGTGGGCGCATCATGTCAGGGGGACACTTACCAATCATCAAAACGAAAAATTAAACCAAAAATCTGGAAAAATTCTAAGAAAATATATTGAGGCCATCAAATATAACTGAACAAACAATTGAAATAAATTAGGTTGCCTTTAAATAAGCTCATTTCTTTAACATCTTTGACTAGACATAGCTAGGTGACGTCAATTGGAACAATTTGGTGTATCCAGACGTATCATCTTCACTTTTCCACTTGGAAAGTCCTCGTAATAGTGTTTGAGGCGATACCTATTCACCACAAACTTATTGTCCGTTCTAGTGCTGCGGATCTCTACTGCACCATAGTGAAAGACATTATTAACAAGAAAAGGTCCAATCCAATGGGAACATAATTTACTTGAAAATAGCTTGACTCTAGATTGGTATATAGAACATTCTGGCCAACTTCAAAGGTCTTCCTAGAGATTTGCTGGTCATGGAACACCCTAATCCTCTCCTTATAAATTGGTGCATTTTCATATGCTTCGTTCTTGATCTCCTTCAATTCTTGCAAGTCCAACTTTTGATGAGTACCGGCCTCCTCTAAATTCATATTACACTGTTTTATCATCCAAAATGCCTTATACTCGAACTCCATTGGGAGGTGACACAACTTCCCGTACACCAGGCTATAAGGTGACATCCCTATAGGTGTCTGATACGCCATCCTATAAGCGCAAAGCGCATCATCTAATCGGAGACTCCAATCCTTTCGGTTAGGACGAACCATTTTCTTCAGTATCGATTTAATCTCCCTATTCGAGACCTGCGCTTAACCATTGGTTTGAGAGTGGTACGATGTCAAGACCTTGTGGAGTACACCATACCTTTGAAATAGCGCAGCTACGATCTTATTATAGAAGTGCGTCCTTCTGTCACTAACAATGATCCTTGGCATCCCAAAATGCACAAAAATATTGGATTTAATAAAATGTGAAACCACGGGTTATATTACCTATAGTTTGACATCAATCGCAGGATTTACAAAATAAATATGCATCTTTAAACAATGAAAACCAGTAAAACCCACTCTCCAATACCTTATGCGTAGTTCGCTTTGGTCCAAAATGATCTCCACATGCAAAAGTATAGCAAAAAGTTAATATTGACTGGAATTCAACTTCACTTACGCATCTTCTCATTATTTGGTCTGCGCATCTCTTCCATAGGTAAGGGTCATCCCATATGAAATACTTAGCGTCGCCCTTCAACTTGTCCTTTTGCGCCTTAGACCATCCTGCGGGAAATTGATTAGTCACTAGATAGTTCACGATATCAGCATAACAAGGCAAAGAAAAATTGACAAAAAGTAAATGTTCGTCAGGGAAGGCTTCTTTTAGTGAAAATTCTTCAACGATGACTGGTACGCGACTTAAGTGATCTGCCACCAGATTTTTTGCTCCTCTTTTATCTCTGATTTTTAGGTCAAATTCCTGTAGGAGTAGTCTCCATTGAATCAACCGCGGCTTTGCATCCTTCTTGGTCATTAGGTACCTCAACGCTGTATGATCAGAAAATACAATAACTTTAAAACCTAATAAATATAACCTGAATTTTTCTAAAGCAAAAATAATTGCTAAAAGCTCATTCTCAGTAGTGGAGTTGTTTAATTGAGTTTCATTTAAAGCCCTTGATGAGTAATAGATAGCATGGGCCGCTTTTCCTACTTTCTGGCCCAACACTACTCCCACTGCATGATCACTAGCATCGCATATAATTTCAAATGGAAGATTCCAGTTAGGAAGTTGGATGATCGGTGGCGATGTCAATAGCTCTTTTAACTTGTCGAATGCTCTCTCACACTCGACATCGAACTCAAAGGCCATATCTTTTTATAAGAGTTTGAATAGAAAAGGTCCAACCTTTGAGAAATCCTTGATAAACCTTCGGTAGAAACCTGCATGTTCAAGAAAAAAACGCAACTCTTGCACACTCGCGGGGTAAGACAAAACAGATATAATGTCTATTTTAGCCCAATCAACCTCAATATCCTTAGAGGACACTACGTGATCTAGAACTATTCCATGCTCAACCATAAAGTAATATTTTTTCCAGTTAAATACGGGATTAGTTTCTATATATTTCAACAAAATCAATTTCAGGTTATCTAGACAATTATTGAAACTAGCACCATATACACTAAAGTGATCCATGAAAAACTCAATAATTTTCTCAACATATTCTGAAAAAATACTCACCATACATCTCTGGAATGTTACAGGGGTATTGCAGGTTCTGAAAGGCATTCGCCTGTATGTGAAAGTTTCAAACGGGTACGTAAATGTGATTTTCTTTTGATCCTCCCGTGCGATTGCGATTTAAAAATATCCTGAAAATCCATCTAAAAAATAATAGTAAGTTCGACAAGCTAATCGCTCAATCATTTGGTCAATAAAGGAAAGGGAAAAATGATCTTTTTTCGTGACAGCATTTAATCTTCAGTAGTCGATACACTGCCGCCATTTGGTGGGTTTGCACACTGGCATGAACTCACTTTTCTGGTTGGCTTCTACTGTCACTTTCATCTTCTTTGGAACTACCTGTCTCAGACTCACCCACGAACTGTCTGATATTGCACATATGATCCCCACATCCAGCAGCTTTAATATTTCTTTCTTCACCACTTCCATTATGAGGGGATTGAGTCTCTTTTGAGCTTGTCTTACAAGTTTGGCGTCTTCTTCAACTTGAATTTTGTGCATACACACAGAGGGACTGATGCCCTTAATGTTGGCGATGGTCTATCCTATTGCTTGCTTATGCTTTCTAAGAATTCGGATTAGCTTGTTCTCTTGTGTTTCTGACAGTTCCGACGAGATAATCACTGGAAGCGTTTCTTTCTCGGTCAAATATGCATATTTTAAGTGCTTCGACAGAGGTTTTAATTCTAACGCAGGTGCCTGCACCACAGACGATAATACCCTTTGATGAGATTCGAGCACTAAAATATGTGTGAACTCATGTCTTGTCGTCGTGATCAACAGAGATTGCAATGCCCCCAATCGTACACTTCAACTCTTCACTCAACTCTATCTCATGAGTTGTTTCCAACTCGAGGTGATTGGTTAAAGCAATTTCTAGCTCATCTCTACCCATAATTTCAAACACTTTCTGCACCGCAGGGTCAATAGTACTCACAGAAAAAAACAGAGCTAAAATTAAAGTTCGAGAGGTATTTTATAGTCTCAAAAATATTGAAATGAATAATTTTTCCATCGAATTCCATGGACTAGGTACCCTTATTAATATTAATTTTAGTTTGGGTTGTGCTCAAAAATGGTCCACCCAATAGCAAAGGCAAGAGGTCGGGAGAATGATCATTATTCATTTCAAACACATAAAAATCAGTTGATAATACCAATTCATTAATTTTAACTAACACATCTTCAACCAACCCATCAGAACATGCATTCGTTCAGTCAGCTAATTGGATTATTATCCCAGTTTCTTTTAACGGACATTAATTCAAGGAAACATAGATAGATTTAGGCATTACATTGATTGATGCTTCTAAGTCCAACATAGCATTTCTAATCAAAATATTACCTATCCTACAGGGGATAGTAAACATATCTGGATCTCCACATTTCGGTGGGAACTTCCTCCGTTGAACTGCTAACACGTTCTCTCCTACAATGATTCTTTCGTCTCTCATCAGCCTTCTTCGGTTGACATCCAAATTTTTCAAAAATTTCGTGTACTTTGACACTTGTTTAATTGCATCTAATAGGAAAATATTGATCTCTACCTTGTGGAATACCTTCAAAATCTCTTTCTCCTTGTCCTGCTTTTTCAGTCTCTCCAACCTATTAGGAAAATGAGGTGGATTAATTTTAACCTCAATAATTGGGTCAGGGAGTACCACTGGATTTTTGTTGTTTCTGTCCTTCTCCTCAAGATTTTTCTCGATTTTTTCTTCATCCTTATCCTTTGGAATCTTGAATTCGGGTCCCTGAATTTCCTTCCTACTCCTTAAGGTCATTGCACTTACGTTCTTAGGATTCAGTTCAGGTTGCATTGACAATTTACCGTTCAACTTGGGATTCCAGGCGGTTGATTGATATTTTCATCTGACTTATCTAACTTTGCATTGCTTGTATCTGTCCCATTTGATTCCTTATATTTTGTAGGTCAGAATCCATCTTTTGTTGACTAGCAATTAACTGATTCATCATTTCTTCTAGAAATGGGCTTGAGATTGGAGGAGGTGGTGACGAGCGAGGTTGATACTGCTATTGATACCCTTGATATTTATTCGGTGCAAAATTTGACTGCCTATTTTTTCCGTAACTAAAGTTAGGGTGATCTCTCCTGCTTGGATTGTACGTATTCGAGTACGGATCATATGACTTTCTTGGCACGGGCGCGTGGCCAGCTATGTTTACTTGTTCCGCAATCTCTTCTTCAATCATTAAGCACATCTCTGTAGAATAACTCATGACAGTACAAATCTCATATATCTTGGCATGTGGTGCATTTCTCACAGTCAATTGCTTAACAAAAGATGTTAACTCAAATAACTGCTGTTGGATAGACGATGTTTCTACCTCATATACTCTACGTATCAGGACATCCTCCCTTGTACCAAACTATTGCGAGTTCTCGGCGATCCCTTCAATCAACTCCCACGCTTCTTGAGAAGTCGTGTTCACCAATGCCCCTCCACTTGCAGCATCAATAATACTCTTGTCTCTGAAAAGTAGCCCATCGTAAAAGTACTGGATGAGCAATTGCTCACTTATTTGATGTTGAGTGCATTTGATGCATAATTTCTTGAATCTCTCTCAATAATCATAGAACGACTCTCATAGATGTTACTTGATGCCGCATATCTTTTTCCTCAGACTTGTAACTTGAGATGCAGGAAAATATTTTTTCAAAAATTTTTTCTTCAACAGCTTCCAAGTGGTAATATTACCTAGAGGTAGGTAGTACAGCCAGTCTTTTGCTGAGTCTTTAAGAGAGAAGGGGCATGCCCTCATTTTTATCTATTTTTCCGTAATTCTCGAGGGCTTCATACTATTGCAAACAATATTGAACTCTTGTAATTGCTTATGAGGCTCCTCATCTGATAAATCATGAAAAATGGTAAAAGATGAATTAGGCCAGATTTCAACTCAAACGGGGTGTTATCATTTAAATTCGAAAGAGTAATGCATAAGGGCTGCTGATTTAAATTAGGAGTAGCTAACTCCCTTAATATTCGTGCATTAGCCATATTAACTTCTTCTTGATCCGAGTCACTCGAAGTATCACCAAGCGAACTTGTTGACTCAACTTCTGAATCAAGTCTCTGAGATGCAACACTAGATTGCTCTCTGAACTGTCTGGTCTCTTTTCATGTTCGGCGCGCGGTCTTATCTACTTCAAGGTTGAAAATTAATTCACCTGTATGAGAAGAACGAGGCATAAACTAAAAAAATATCAGAAAATTAAAATGAAAATGAACTTAAAAAGAAACAAATTAACTAACGTCAGTCCTCGGCAACGGCACCAAAAATTAAAATGTTGTCGAATTTGTGCAATAATAAATACCTGCTCAAACAAAATATAATTTCTATACATAGTGATAAGTAGGGTCGAATCCACAGGGATTGGTGTTATTTGTCTCTTTTGAAATTCAAACTAACAAAGGGGTTTTTTTGGTAATAATTAAACGGTTCAAATAAAAATAAATAGTTAACTAAAAGTTAAGTGACAAATTATTAAAACAAAACTAATAATAACTAAGCTCTAGTCAAGAAATAATTTTAGCAATGGTTCTCCTAATTTATCATCGATGCAAAGGTAATTCTAATTATCAATCAAAAAATAAGTTATAATTGCCAAACAAGTGATGACAGTCAACTCCTCCTTACTGTGTCGGTAATTAAGATATGTCCGTTAATTACTACTTTAATCGAGAAATAATTCTAGGTATGTCGGTAAGATTTAATTCTCTAATTGTCTTACATATTAGAGGAGGCTTATTTTAACCAAATAATACACCATGTATTCCCTTGATACAAATCTAATCATGCCAGTTGCCACTATTCTTAGAACAATTAAACAATTACGGATTCAACATTCTAATTGACATTAGGTTGCTAAATTAATTCAATGTCTGGGCCCAAAATACTCAATTAATAAAACAATCATAAGCACTACAATCGAGAATATGCAAGTACCAGTAAATAAGAGGAATAAACAAAATTAATTCGATCTCACAATTTTTAAATGAACCAAAGCCTCCGTTGTTCCTTGACTAGAAAAAAAAAAAAGATTTAGTTCATCTCTGTGGAGAAAATCCCAAGTAAAATTGCAGAAGTAATCATCGTGTACATCATCCTCAATTGAGATGATTCAATTCGATGGAAAATAAGAACAATTAAAAACTACAAAGTCAAAAGATGACTAATTGTTTCTTCCTCTCGGCACACGATGGAAGCATAGGAAAAAGACTAGCCATAGCTAAAAATAGGTATGTCCTCTCTTTTTGCAGCTACCTAGAAGAATGAAAGGAAAAAAGTTCCAATATTGCCCTTAGGCTGCAGTATTTGACCATTGGATAAGGAAACCATCTCCATTTGGACTCTTGTTTCCTTTTACTACTCAAACTCTTCTGCTAGCTATCGTCAAAATTAATTTGACTAATCCACTTGGTAATTTCGGCATGGTTTGTGGCCTCCTTTGCAGCGCTAGATGTCTCGAAACCAATGTAGTGAGGAATTTGCGCCTTTTTATCACTTTTTGTTCCAACTCCTTGCGAACAGCACAAATTTCCAATAGTAAATAAAATTTGCCAGTTAACGCACAATTGGTAGTATAATGCGAGGGAATTAATTATAAAATATATAAAAAGAATTGTGACCTATCAGCAAGACCAATTTGGATCAGTTTGTTGAAGCACCTCTGTTTATCAGGTAAGAATTTTTACCTTTTTCCAACTGGTTAAAGCTTTTTTCTGATAAGATTTTTACTAAACTTGGGTTATTAATTTCCACTATACACACATTTGGATTTTTTAAGTAGAGTCACTTAATGTGATAATTGGTGGGAGGTAAAGTTTGAACCATTGATCTCCCACCTCACCAAACTTTAATGTTTTGGTGGTGGCCACCAACCTTTGATTAAGTTGACTTTTTTATGTTACTCTTATGGGTGTTAGAACTTTGAAGTAGGGTTTATTTGCTTTTTAAGTATATGGTATTTTATTTGTACCTCTGACCAGATTCCTTTCATTTTCTCCTCCGAATAGTGACTCGAAATGACACTAACATTACCGTACTCCTGACTATTCTTGCCTTGTTTCCATTCTAAATTATTGTGCTTCCTGATCCTATGGTCCATCCCAAATTATTGTGCTTCCACAGAATTTTGGGCCCAACTTTGAGTAGAGTTATCTACTTTTTGAGTATATGGTATTTTATTTCTACCTCTAACCAGATTCCTTTCTTTTTCTCCTTCGAATAGTGAGTCGAAATGACACTAACATTACCGTACTCTTGAGTATTCTTGCCTTGTTTCCATTCTAAATTATTGTGCTTCCATAGAATTTTGGGCCTAGTCCCTTGTAAATTATTGGAAGCCAATCCTTCCTAAGCGCTCTATACGTGTTTTAGTAGAATCTCCACGCAAAATGAGTCATATTCTAATTTCCTCAATTGGTTCTCCACTAGAATGCCTTTCATTTATGATACCCAGCCACTATTTGGTAGAAGTGTGCAAAATCGAAAAATTTCAATTTATCAACCGAATTCAAATTAAATGCGGAATTTTGAATTTGGTAATTCGGAATGGTGATCGGAATATCCGATTTTGAATTAGATGAAATCAGATTGACTTCGGTAATGGGATTTTTCAAATCAGAAATTCCAATTTCAAATTTACAATTCGAAATCAAAATTTGGAATTCCTATTTCGATTTCAAATCTGTTTTTCATATATATAATTTATATGTAATATAACATTTATATTTGTAGACACCAAATTTTTGGTGTAATTTCATTTACTATTTATTTTTAGTTTTTTATTTGTCGTGTTAGTTTTATTCAATTTTTAGTTTTTAGTTTATAGTTTTATTGTTAAGTTTTAACATAGAATTTCTCGAAAAGAAAAGAAAAGCATTCAAAAAAAATATGTTTTAATTGTTTTGATTTAAATTCAATGTTTTCTTGGAAAAATGAAAAAATGAGAATGAAAATGAAAAATGAAAAAAAAGAGAAAGGAAATTAGCATTTCATTTTTATCTTTTTATGCTTAGTTCCGTTCAATTTATTCGATTTTTCTTAATTAGTTTTCTTTCTTAATTAGTTATTTGTCTTTATATTTTGTTTTGTTGAATTTTCATTATTAGCAAAAAAAAAAAAAAAAAAGGAAAAATTGTTGCCGCAGCATGAAAGCTGCGGACTTGCGCCGTTTGCAAAAAAAACCTGGGGCGGCTCCTGAAGCTGCAAATACAGAAGGATTGCTGGGGTTTTAGGGTTGAAGGACTGGATATAAAAGCTAAAGAAAGACAGCAGCCGCACAAGGAGGAAAACAACGGAAAAATCTGGAGAGGATATGAAAAGAGGGGACGGCTGAGATATTGTGGAGGGACTGGGGTGTAGTCGGCGGCTAAAGAAACTGAGCAAAGGGGAAGGATCCAAGTTGACGGCGGAGAAGGAGAAGAGAGGATAGGAACGGCTGAAAGCTAGAAAGAGAGGAGGAAGCCGAGAGATGCGAAAGACATCCGAGGGAAGTTGGAAAAATCTAGGTGTAGACACCAAATTTTTGGTGTAATTTCTTTTACTTTTTATTCTCATTTATCGTGGTTGCTTTTAGTTTTTTTTAGTTTCTAGTTTCTATTTTTATTTTTAAGTTTTAGCGTAGAAAAATCATGAAAAAAGAGAAAAAGGAAAATTGTTCACAAAATAGGTTTATTTCTTTTTAAATTCAATCTTTTGACTTTATTTATTTTTTGGTTAGGTTATTTTGAAAACAAAAGAAAAGTGAAAAATGAAAATGAAAAATGGAAATTTGCATTTTTTGTTGTTTTTAGTTTATTTTTATCTAATGTTAATTAAGTTGTTTTCATCATTAATTATTATTGTTTTATTATTATCATTTTTGTTGTTTAATTAATTAATTAAAAAATAAAAATAAAAATAACATTTCCATCTCTGCCGGAGTGCATTCCCTTCCCTCGACACACACACTCAACCTCCACTACCGCGAATCACTCCACTACCTCAGCCTCAACCACAAACACTCCATCTCCATTCTCCACCTCGTGATCATCGACGAGAGCAAGAGAGGGAGAACTCCTCGGATTGAGCAGGAGAAAGGTGAAGAGAGAGCGAGCCGCGAGCTGTATTTCTGTTCTGTCCGAGGAAGTCAAGCGAGAGAGAGAGCAAGAGGCAGTCGAGTGAGCTACTGATCATCACCATCTTCACCAGTTCCAATCGAAACACCACAGCTTCAACCATCCGCAACCAGGACCAACACATCCAACCGCGAGCGAGCAGAGAGGAGAGAAACATCAGCTTTCTGTCGTCTGAGTGAGCTTTCGGTGAGCTACAACAACACCCTCTACCTTGGAATCATCGAAGTGAGGAAACCAGCGAGGGAGAGGGAGCTGCCATTCCATTTTTCACCCTCAACTAGCCGTGATCAATTCAGTCACAACCATTACAGCTGCAACCACTGAATTCAGACTAACCATCCTCGCGTGCGTGAGCTGCCGAGAGGAAAAATTGCAGCTGCTGTCCGTGTGAGCTTTTCATCCATTTCCTTTCGTCTGTAAACTAGAAAGAGATTGGGAGCCATATTGTCTTCATACTGGTCGCAAGCTAGAGCAAGGGAGAAGGAGAGTTGCGGACTGAAATTC